TATGTTTTATGATTTCAAATTAAAATAAGCAATATTTATCTTACATAATTTTTAATAAAAATATAATTGTTAACCCAACAATATTTTTAATTATGATTCTCCAAAAATAATAATAAAAATACAAAATATATTTTATAAAAGTAAAAAAAATAAAAAATTCAAATAATTATTACAAAAAGTCAAAATATTCAATTTAGAATAATATATTTTATATTTTTGACACAATTTTTTTACCACACAACAAAAATCAATTAATCTAAAAACGTCGAGTAAACGGAATCAATATTTGCTCCCGAAAAATAATATTTATAATAATGTTTGAATTATATTGGCTATACATTTTAAATTTATAAAATGATATAAAAGCATATTAAATTTATTAATGACCATTTTCTATATATATATATATACACACGTGTGTGTTGTTTTTGTTTTTGTTTTGTTTTTTTGTTTTTTTTTAATCTAGAATATATATTGCATTTTTTAGTAATATTAATTAAAAAGTATATAAAAAAATTTTGTTAGGTAAACACATTATGAGTTCGTAAATTGTGTAATTATAGTAGTTGTGAAATTGTAAAATAAATATAAAGTTTGTGTATAAATCAAGGAGCACTACCAAAAAAACGGCCTTTCACCACGGCCCGAGAGTTCGTAACAATAACATCGTAACAAATAGTGGTTTTAGTTACGTGAGTATCCGTGACAAAAAAATTTCCTCTTGGTCAACGTTTCAAGTTTATTAGTTACGCAAAAAAATTGTAACAAATACGGAGATTGTAGACTTTGGTCAAAATAAGATTTGTTATGATAGTTTTTCGTAACAACTGGTTAAATAATATTAATTAAAATTTTTTTTGCAATAAATAAATTAAAAAAAAAAGAAGAAAAAGGTAAAAACGCATCTGCGCTTTCACTCAACAGACAAAATAAACACGCTTGTAGAGATCTAGGGCAAAAAGATTTCACTTTCCCATACTTAGAAAAATCAGACAAATTGAGGGCATAGTATTTCGTCCCCTCTAACGATCGACGACTCCCTTCTTTCTTTCGCCGACGCGACGCGCATAGTTGTGGAATTGAATAGGTAGTCCGGCGCTAGCGTCCAAGTAATGTTTTAAAGTTTTCTCCAGTATTATTTGTTGTCGATTCGCAGTTCTTCATCTATTCCTATAAGGAAAAATCGAATTAGGGAGTATTAATATTCAGCTTCTTCCTCAGGTTGATACGGAGCTCTGCTTTAGGGAGTATCTTTAGGTACCGAAAGATTTCTTCCTCATCGTTACAATTTGTGTGTGAACATAGGTATTGAGCCCAATTTTGATTTTTCTTTCTGGGTATATATTGTTCTTTCATGATATCTTGCGCTAACTCTCACATTTCACAAAGGTGTGGGGGTGGATTTTCAACTATATTTTGTTTTATTTTTCATATTTGAGCTTGCAGTGCCGGGCTGCCCTGCCCCTTGTGCAATTTACTTTTTTTTATTCTAGATTTAAGATAAGACTGTTATCAAAGTGATTCTTAATGTGTGTCTTCATTAATAACTCAGCCTCATAACGAAGATAATTTAATATCTTTTATCACCACATTTTCAAATATGATTTTGAAATAAAATAAATAAATAAATGTATATGTATGAAATCAAAAAAATAAAATATTGACAACTGCACAAAATGAACTTGAAAAGCCACCGGCTTGTGAATTAAGGATTAATAGTGCGAAGACCAGAAATTGTTGAATTGATTAAGCATCATATTCGAAAAGGGTGAAACTGTAAATGGTGCTATTCATACTACCCAAGTTTCTTTAGTAAAATTCTACCATTCAATAAGTGTTTTGGAAACAAAATCATTTTTGAAGCAGTGAATCAGTTGCTGAATAGTATGATAAAGATGATGTATGTGTCGAATGGAGAAGGAAAACAAACAAATGGGTTTCGTAACTAGCTCTATCTAATTCATTCCATGAATATATGCATACACATGCACATGACATGCATTATCATCTTCTTCTCATTGTTTGTTTGTCCGTCTTTGAAAAAGCTTTGTATTTATTGTTGTTGCATTCATTAATATTAAGTTGCTTCCAGATATTGCTGATGTTGTGGGCTTAAGTTAAATTAGGCGAGCTGTTCATTGGATAATTTGCTTAACTGCTGTAAACCAATTTAGTTTGATGTGTGCTAGATTAATTTAGTGAGCCAACAGTGTTTGTAATGTGTATATCTTAGTTGTTGCTGCAAATTTAAGTAGTTCTAGCCTATCCTGTTAATCAATCTCGTTGTAATTGTAATAGGCTCAGTCAGTTCAGATTGTTTAGGTTAAATTTAATTTCTTACTATGTCTGTGGTACATTAGATAGTTAATATAATCTACTGTTGTCATTATACTTAGGCTAGTTTAATTATGTTGTTCCTTGCTTGGTTAGTCGTCAATTCGTCAGCTTCATTCCCATCAGAATAATAGCATTTCACACTTGTAATCCTTTCTTTTAGTTTTTATGTACTTCAAATGTTAATCCTGCCATCATATAATACTAAAAGTGATATATATATGTACCAATTCAATCCTACAATAAGTAATGGATATTGTAACGTAGTGCATGTTTAACTTTTGTAGTAGTTTGTGCTATTTTTACTGAAAATGAGTGCATATTTAACTTGTATTTTTTTTTTACAGGATACTAAATTGTGGAGACAAAGGCGTGCAGTGTGAATTCAGGATAAGCATACTTGAGTTTAATGAAAGGTCTGATTTCTTTTTAATGCATTTCCACTGTGCAAAGCTTCTAATTTTTCTATGTTTTCTCGGGTGGTGGTGTAATGGACTTCAATCTGGAGTTGCATAAACAACAGTAGGGTTGTGTCGAAACCTGTAGAATAGTCATAAGTAGGTGCTATTTGCTATCTTTGCTTACTATGTGAACGATTGACTTATAAGAAATTTCGATAGCACCGATTTGATATGTTAAATTGTCATATCTTACATTACTGCTAGTTACTGGTTCCATGAAATCTTCTATGTACCCAATGATCGATTGCTAAACTGCCATCATGTTTGATGCATCCATGATTATGTTACTAGCATTCCACTTATTTTTGCATTTGTTTCTACTATGCAGCGATGACATTAGGGAAAGGCGCAGAACCATGAGCCAGAGCAGAAGCTCAACTTTGAGAATTTATTAGTATTTTCAAATCTATACAAAAGTTCCTTTGGATTATGTGTTTACTGTGCATGGACTTAACTAGCGCTGCTATGTACGCAAGGCCACGCCCTCTGCTTCAACTCGGGATTTGCTTGTCTTTCCTCTACTGAGGTTGTGACACTCTATCCTTACCTTATCTGTCTGTGCTTGTTTTTCTTTTTTTGGTTCATAGAAAAGAGATGCATTGAACTGTACAGTCGTGCTGCATATGATATGGATCTTAATAGATTGCTTCTTGCCTTCTTCATTTTCTTCTAAACCTCACTGATTTCGATTTTCTGTGGAGGTCTCTGCACGGCACTGCTTCATTGGTTTTCTGCATCTGTATGCACTTGTGCTAGATTCCATGTTTGTTGCGTGCTCTGCTCTGCTCTCCTTAAATAGATTTGTTCGATTAGGACTAAAGATGAAAAGATAGATGCTTTGCACACTCCTCGGCGGCATATAATCTCCACCTGTGCTTGCTTGGTTGCAACGATTGATTGATTGATTGATTAACTCACTCTTTTAGGTTGTATAATTGAGTAGAGAATTGAAAGCCCATTTTGAAAATAAAGAAGAAAGCAGGGGAGGGGGTCTGATCTGCTGTAGGTTTTCCTTAGGGTGTTATACAGTTTCAGCCCCTCCATCATCACATAATACTAAAAGTGGTATATATGGTTCTAATTCAATCCTAAAAGAGGGAATGCATATTGTGAATTAGTGCATGTTTAATTAATGTAGTACTTTGCGCATTTTTCATTGAAAATTAGTGCATGTTTAACTTATGTTTTTTTTATAGGAAGTGAACGTATGTCAACGCAGGCGTGCTGTGCTCATTCAGGATACCTAGCTTTGAGTTTAACAAAAGGTCTGCTTTATTTTTTATGCTATGCCACTGTGTAGCAACTTTTCTGTGATGTATGTTTATTGGGTGGGTGGTGCAATGAAGTGTTAAGTGCATTCCTACGAATCTAAAATATTTTTTTCCCATCAGATTTCAGAATTATTTCATATTTGTTTTAAAGGGTTTCTACTAGAGGTGTAATCAACATATAGAGGACCCAGGTTCCTTGTCGGCATGATTGAAAAACATCATCACTATGAATTCTATCCTACAGCACGGGAAACTCTCTTCATCGATCTGCACCAACTGAATAACATATTCAATTTCATTATTTCAAAACACATTTGTGCATTGACAATTAACTCAAAGTGCATGCTTAATGAATTTCCTTTGTCGGAACCAATACCATTTTTTTTGTAACTTGGTTGTATGCGTCGATTTGTCGGAAGCAACACCATTTGGGCTATTTTAACTGAAAATGAGTGCATATTTAACTTGTGTTTTTTTACAGGATACTAAATTGTGGAGACAAAAGTGTGCAGTGTGAATTCAGGATAAGCAACATTGAGTTTAACGGAAGGTCGGATTTCTTTTTAATGCATTTCCACAGTGCAAAGCTTCTAAGTGTTCTATGTTTTCTCGAGTGGTGGTGTAGTTAAGTGTTATGTGCATTCCCACAAACCTGCTTTACTCTTTAGACATCAGATTTGAGCATTTTTTTCATATTCGTACAAAAGGGCAAGGAAAAATTTAGAATAGTAGGAAATTTTTCAGGACCCAAGTAGGGTATGGATAATTCTTGCTGCTCTAGTATCTAGAGATGACGCTCAGAATTTTTGGCGGAGCGTAGACATCATTTAATTCTCATTAAATGGCATCCATAAAAGGTTCTAAAGTGGAGATAATGGCTGATTTTAAACCATGGGCCTTAATGTTGTGATTTTAAAAGGTTCTAACACTGGTGTCTTGCAGGTTATGGGCAAATCTCAACGTGCTGCCGTTGGAGGGTCACAGGATCCGGCAGTCTCTCCCGCAAGACGTTTTACCCGGGCATCCGCACGTAACAGCCCCCTAGAGGCAACTCATCCCGCAAGCAGGAATCCATCGCCCATCCGCAATCCCACAAAGAAAGTGACAAAACGGAAGGGATCTCGGGTCTCGCCACTGCTCCAACGACTCCGGTCCATCACATCAGAGTGGGAGAAAGAGCGCGATGCTCGTGGTCAAAGCATGAAGCCAACATCTTCCACTCGAAGGGCAGTGCTTCAGGATTCAGAGGGCCCTTTGGAGGTAATGTGGTTCCTTTGCCGAAAGCATGTCCTTATTTGAACTCTCAGTATAACACTACAATAGGCTGACACTGTTAACCCCAACAGGAACATGATGATAGGGATGTTCCATCACTTTTTGATCCGACGGCACTGACACAGGATGACGATGATACAATCCCCCCCACACAAGCAGATGACGAGACACTTCCGCCGACGCAGGACATGGAGACTGCAGAGAGTGATATGCCACTCTTGGATGAAGGGCCAGGCTCCGACCCCACTCTGATGACAGGAACAGAGGCGGGCAATATGGCACCATTGGACGAGATGACATCGCACGACGGTTTGGAAATTAGCCTTCAAAGATTACCGATTACATTTAGTGACTTCATATTTTGCATGTAATATCCTTATTAGAACATGTAATCTCCTGTTTGTGTCAGCTGGTTCGTCAAAGAAAAAGCAGGGGAGAGGGGCGGCACGAATGCCGCGTGGATGGGGAAAAGATCACAGGATGCTTGTATTCACATCGCCGGATGGTAAAAGCATCGTCGGACCCGACGTAAACGAGTACAAGACAGCCATTGGGGTCATTGCACGCAACGGAGCTCGACTTCCTCTACATTACCCCACGTTCGCTGAGATACCGGAGACGAAGAGACAGGGTGCATGGATGGAGGTTCAGGTGATGCAAACTTCATTAAATTGAAAGTTCTTTTATTTCATATAGATTCTTATATATGGCCCTACCATCTTCTCCGGACCTGGTGGAAACCGTGTGAAACGGCATTCCAGAGTAACAGCGGATTACCAGACTCAGCGGAGAAAGTGGTCTTGGCTGACCTAAGGGAAGTTTGGAGGCACTGGAAATACAGCATCAAATCAACTTACTTCAATCCGATCGAGGACGATGAAGAAGCACTGAAGAAGGTTCCCTCAAGCAGGATTGTGCCCGATCAGTGGCCGAAGTTGGTTGAGTATTGGCGCGACGAGAAGGTGAAGGTACGCATAGGGACATGCCAAATTAATATACGTTAAATCTGCACGGGCATGGACTGAGAACTAAATAACTTTGATTGACGTAGCTTCAATCCAAGAAAAATGCGTCGAACGTAGCGAAAAGAAGCTTTCCACATCGTACTGGGCGGAAGTCATTCACGACTCTGGCAGAGGAGGTACCTTTTATTACAATTAAGTAATTAGTCATGTCATGCTCCATCCCCCTATTTTCCTCTCATGTATTTCATTATGTTTTCGATGACAGAAGGCCTTGTATTGCTGCAGATCAAGGCAAAGGGGAAGGACCCCGACAATCTGGAGATTTGGATTTCCAGTCGCACACAAGGCAAGGGAAAGGATGACCAAGAAACCGAGGAGATATTGGTAGAATAAATTCGTTCCCAACTTAGTTACAATTCAGTCAGTATTTACATCTCTAACAACAAGAGCAAGTTCGGCCTCACTTAAATCTTTCCTGTAGACTTATTTACAGAATGAGCTAAACAAGGTTCCCCCTGAAGGGCGGACTCCCTCTGTTCGGGAGACTCTGTACCGACGGGCCCTTGGGGGAAAGATTAAGAAGCGGTCAAAGGTCGACAGTGCGGCAACTTCAGCTCATCCCCGCAGCGAGTCATCTGGTTTAACAGACAGTGTAGCATTCCAGCATGGGTGGGAACAACTACAGAATGGAATGGAGGAGCTGAAGGCAATGATGGATGAGTTCAAAACCATCAAGGCTGATGTGTATGCATTCATGCACAGAAACTCCGGAGCGGTTACTGGCCAGGCAGTAAGTATTCATAATCCCTGACCTGTTTGGTATGAGTATCCCATGAGATTTGGATGGCGAAGGAATTTACCATCCTCGGCATGTTATATGATAGGGCACATCTCGTATTGATTCAGTCCCTGAGATTCCCAGGCCTGTGTCCGAGCCAAGCATGACGGTATGATTCCGTGACGCCCTGGAGTTTCTTAGAAATCAGTGCAGTGTCTAATTTAGGCTACTCTTGACTGCGTACTACCTTATCCAACTCATATGCCCTGTCTGTTGTAGGTCGGCACACATGTGCTTCTATTATCCCGCACCGGTGAGAAAAAAGTTGTTGCAGAGGGACTTCTGCTCTGCCCCCCTGGGCCAGGTTGGTCCGGTATCTTTGAGGATGTTTAATTAAACTTTTAATATGCCTCAGCGAGATATCGTAGGTTTTCGTGACTGTTCAGGCCTCATATTGCATATTAGCATGGATTCACTAAGTGTAGAAGTATACAATGATACGATCCGTGGATTTCCAAAGCGATGTAGACTGTTAATGTAGGGGTGGTAAAATAACTGCTATTATGACGACCCATGTTTATTGAAGGATGTTTGGTTTTAAGATCAAGCTGCAATTACATAGGAAATTAGGGTATAATGTGCTTCGCTACCTAACTCATGAATGTAATACCATGTACTGTACGACATGTCTGAATGTACGTACTCCTCTTGTTCTAGTTCCAAAGTATTACACTTATAATGTCTGTGTTATGACATGTTATATATACAGTTCGAACGTCTGTTGATATATATGCTTGAATGTAATCAAAAATTGCTCTTGTGAATGCTGTAGGTGACACACTTTCCTTGGTCAAGGTCTTCGTGACATCCGCGTCAGTCCCGGACACACCCCTTATTTTGCCGACCATTTCTGGGGCGACTACCCTTCGCGATGTCGTCGGCGAAGATCCTATTGAGTGGAGCTACAACGACGTAAGGATCTACTTTAATACCTTTCTTGTATTGCCTTCCGAAATTTATAAGAAGTATGACTTAAAGTAATCTCTGTGTTGGCAATTGCAGCTCATGCGCCGGGCTTGAAATGTTGTTACCGATACACCCATGTTAATTGCCCCGTTTGTCATATGGATTGAATGTCGAACCTGTCTTTGGATGGATTGTGTTGAGTTTTTGTTGAACTATGTCTGGAATTGATGCGTAGACCTTTGTGGTTTGAATTCGTTTGGTGAAAAATGTGCCTAATGGGATTGATGGATAACCGTATTTGCTTATTGCGTTGTTTACTTCTGTTTGAACTGTTAAGCACGTTTTGCGGAACAGGTTGTTGATGTGTAGATACTAGTAGGCTTGTTCTATGGGTTGCTTTACTTTGTTGGTAGGTATGGAATTCAGATTTTAATATGAATTAATGTTTGCGCGGGGCGTAATGATGATGATGTTTATAGCAATCTTTGTATTCGTAATTTATTTTCGTATCATACGCATCACAGCAGGTCCATTTGTTACGAACAATTTCAATTGCAGCGTACCCCCTGTTTTTCACAATACGCTATTTTTCCGTAACAAAAGGCCAGAAAATCGTTACAAAAAGTGGTCTTTGGATATTTGTTGTTACAGACGGTTTCGTGACTATAAGTAGGTAATATTTTTTTTACGGGGTTCAATGCCGTTACAAATAGTCGTAACAAAACCCAAGTTCTGACAACCGGTCAATGGAAAACACTTGTAACGCGAGGAACTTCCGTAACAAATACCGTAACTAAAAGTCCTGCCACACGCGCGGAAGGATCTACCTTTCGTTACGAGAGAAAATTCGTAACAAACAGCGTAACAAATACCATACTTCAGGGAGCGTTGACCGATCGTAATAGTTACGAAAAGTGGCGTGGCAAAAAACATTCGTTACGCGAGTACACATTACGGAAAAAAGTCGTAACAAAGGCGTAGCAAATACGCAAATTGCACGAAATATGGCTTTTTGTTACGATTTTCCGGCCGTAATAGAAAACAGTTTTTTTGGTAGTGGAGATTATAATAATTATTTATTTATTTATTTTTTAATATAACAGAACACTTTTTTTTTCATATTTAACATTAAAATAAATACGTATCCCCAAAATATAAAATCGAACACACTCGTTAACTCATTTATTTATTTTTTCATAATATCCCAAATTTATATTACAATCAACTTTTTTTCCCCTATTAATATAACATTATATATGAGCATACATTTTTCCCATGGATGAAGTAAATTTTAGAAACTTTGTATTTATTCATTTATCAAATTTTTAAGAAAAATAACATAAAATTTAATTTAATTTTCAGAATTGGCTAAAAACCTCTAGTGGTCCTAAAATTTCGTATTACCTACTCATGATGTTTTAAAATATTTCATAAAAAATCATCTCTACAAGTACTTAACGATGAGTACAATTCATGCGGGCAAGTGCGATTGTTGATAATAAAAAGCACAACTGTTAATACTTGACGGTGAGCACGATCGAATAGTAGAACAGACTCTATAATTAATGCTCCACAGTGTGCAAATACAACTTGGGCAGCGGTTGTATTTGAGGACATGAATTGCAATCGCCGTTAAGTATTAACAGAAAGACCCTTTTTTTATGCAATATTTTTTTGGAACTACGAGCAGGTAATATGAAATTTTAAGAGCAGATATTCAAAAAATTACCAAAATCACAGGAAAATTTTATTCTATTTTACCAATTTTTTAAATAAATCATTTTATATCTATTATCAATTTAATTCAGAGAAGAACGGTCTGTAGCCTAATTTCATAATTCAGAGTATATTTATATATATATATATATATAAAATGTTGAAGGATCTATATGTTCTATTAGTTCAAGGGTTGGAAGTAAGAAATTTGTAATTTATAGTTCCAGAACAAAGTCAAACTCAAAATAACCACTTTTATTATCTTTTTCAATATTGTTTTTGCATTATTTATTAATAAAGTTTATAATTTTTATTCAAAAATATAATAATTATTATTATTTAAATACTATATCAACGGAGTTTGTTCAAAATTTCAAACCCAAAGCCTAATATTAATTAATTATTCAGAAAAAAATATTAAGGAAAGAAACCATTTTTGATCATATTTTAAACTACAATAATTAACTTTGGCTTTTTTTTTTTTATTATTATTATTATTATTATTATTATTATTATTATAATTATTGGTCTCACTAAAAATAAAACTAATCAATTTTGATCTCTTTTAAAATTAAATTAATCAATCTTAATATCATGATAGCTGATATGAATTGAATACTATAGTGTTGGTTTGATCACGATAATGTTTGATGACTTAAAAAGTTGAATAAGCTTTACAATACATTCAACATGGTTGTATTGGTTCCAAGTTGAATAAGGGTTGTAGGCAGCATCTAGTGAGTCGGCTACTTAATCAACGATTGATATTCTCGTAGTACTGATATTATTGTGCGATTGTTAGTTAAATAATATGTGAGAATAAAATGACATACAGAAAATGACCGTTGATAAGCCAAATCAAGTAGGATTCTCTCTCTGTAAAGTAATATATCTCTAATAGTATCTCTAGTCAGTAGCAATTTATTTCCAAAGATAAAACAAAACTATATATGATGGTAGTAACACCTCAAATCGTCGGAGCTCCGACAAACTAAAATGAGGGAGGAACTAAGAGATACCAAAAATTGAAAAAATTGAAAAAAGCTTGCCAAAAAACTAATCGGGGATGAGAGAAAAGGAAGTGAGAGGCTTCAGTGTTGGTGTATTTGAATGAAAGGGGATGATCCTTTTATAGACATGACCACTCGAAAGATAAGACAACAATCGTAATACATGGTCATATGACATTCATAAATACTATCTTTAATAAATTTTGGGAAAATTTCAAAACTCTTTTTTTTTTTTTTTTTTTTTTTTTTTTTTTTTTTTTCTGGGCATATGAAACAAGTTGCAGCTTTGTTGTCGCAGCATTTATTTAACACCTAAAAAGAAAACCTGCATAGGATTGTGACACATGATTGTGAATGAACTTTTACTTGTCAAACCTACATCTAATTGATGTTTGGAGACAAAACTTGAATTGTCCCATATAAAGAAAATGCAGGACTTTCAAGGTTTGGAGAGCAATTAATGTCTAAATTCCACAACCTCAAAATGATTGACCACCAAGCTATGTGTAGGCAGAGTAAGAATGGATGCTTTGATTTGAATTATAGTGATAGAAACAAGTTATTTTCTCTCCACCTCGATGTATCCGTTTCTTCATATTTCAAAGAATATTGAGGAACTTCCATGGAATTGTGAAGCAACCTCAACAAGAAGAAAATGAGTCCTATCCGAAAGAGATGACCAACTTATAAACAATCTTACTCTTAGCTTGACTGCGAGTCTACTGGTGTCATTACAATATTGTAAAAACTAGTCCATCCATGTTTTTAAAACAAGGAGAGCTTGTTTAGAGGACATGTTTTGGAGTTTTTTATGTTGTCTTGAATCATGTATACCTGGTGATAGATTTAGTGAAGGACTCCTGGATTAGAATCTTTCATATGTAGGTTTTTATATCAAACTGTGTAAACAAATATTGTGTGTTTTCTTATGCTTTGCATTTGTTCGGCTATAGACTCGTGCATATACGTACACAAAAATTTTAACCATGCAAAAATCACGCATTCAAAGCCGTGCAAACCACCGGGGTTTTTTTAGTTCTGCTGCATATAAAACTTAGAGCCGTTGGACCTCTTTAAGGACTAATCCGTTTCCATCATATGGTATCAAAGGAGCATGATCAATACCCTGAGTAGATCTATTTGTGGTTCAGGATGAATTGTGAAGCAACTTTATCCTTCTGTCCACTTGTCTTCGATGGAAGCAACTATAGCTACTAGAACTATCGAATGAAAGATTTTTTTTATGACTCTTGGTGATGAAATGTGGGAGCCTATTGAAGTTGGTTGGATTCCACTAACGAAAGTCATACCTAAAGAAACTCATAATGATCCACCCACTATTGCTCTTAAGCCGTATAATGAATGGACTATCAAAAAAAAAAAAAAAATTACAACTGCTAGAAATGCCAATGCGGTGAATGTTATTTTTGCATCAGTTGGTGAGATTCAATTTCATGTGATTTCCAACTGTAAAGAAAAGCGATAAAGAGTGAGCGGTAGCGAGCGGAGCGGAGGCGAGCCGCAAGGTGCCAGTGATGGACGAGCGAGAGGGGCGATAGCGGATGGCACAACGTATATGTATATAGATTGAGCGGTAGGGGGTGAAAGAGAGGTTTTGTGTCTGAATTGTGCGTTACTTAATGGCTAGGTTTTCCTGGATGAGATGAGCGAGCGGTGCTGGTGTTTAAGCGGACATATATGTGTAGTACGGAAACGGGAAGAGGAGATGATGTAATTATATAAACCAGATTATAGAGAATTTTTATCACTGGTATTTGACCTTAAGGGATTTACAACAAGACTTCAATGACACCCAAAATCATAATATTATAAGAAAGAAACCCTACTATCACTAGGAGTTTATGTGACCCAATAGACCACCACCTATGCCCCATTAATTATCCCAAATTATGCCTCATTAGTTGTTTTACCCTTCTGTTACCTCTTTTTAATCAAAATTGAATTCAAACCAGTAGTTAAGCAGGTGACAAGGCTCCCACGTACTTAACTACATTGAACTACCTTGAATATGTTTGTGACAAAAGACAAGGTCTGGATAATCAATTTTTCTATGCTCTAAACCAGTGAAGTGAAATTCTTTACAATTAGGGTTTATATAAATGTGAAAAAGTGTGGAAGAAGTGATAATGAATAATTGAATGATATTTCATTACTTACTAGTAAAGCTGAAAATTCTAATTCTACAAAACTATAATTAAAGCGATAAACTAAACTAAATAAGCAGTAAAATGGTGGCTAAGGGAGAAGAAGGATCTCAACTCCCTTGGCCATTCCTATGGAGAACTTCTTTACAGGGTTGGAGCTCTCGGGAAACAGGAAGACAGCTAGAATGCACAAAAGTAATTGCTAGTATACTCCTCTTGAAGTATCTTTTATATACAG